TGTATCTTAAATAGGAAACTATAGATTTTTATTCCAAAAGCATTTTATTAAAACAAATTTGATAAAAATTCAAAAAAATGTGATTTTTAAAATATTTTTTTTTAAAAAACCATTGATTTTTATCCACCCTGGCTGACTGTATGTTACATTAATGATGTGCCAAGCAGCCTTTCGGGACTTGAATTCATGACATTTAGGTGCTTAATGTTTTGTCTCCCTGCTCCTCTAATCCCCTTCCTTATCAGGTTCAGCTCTTGTAATTTTGAGGTAATCTAGACCAGGGGTGTCAAACTCATGTCATCACGGCAGCGTCATGTGACGTATCAGGACTTTCCCCCACTTTGCTAAACCGGGTGTGGGCGTGGCCATGATGCACCTGGCCTGCAGGCCACGAGTTTGACAGCTCTGATCTAGACTAAGACCATTGTGGGAAGAGAACTGGTTACAATCCCTATTTCTTGTTTGAGGCTCAACTTTGCCTTGTTTTCCCTTTTTTGGTGAAGCCTGATCTGTGTGTCATTGCTGAAATAAGTAATGGAGAGGAAAAGAGTTGAAATAATTGGCTTTCTATTTATTGAGTTTTGTAACTGTCCACATGTATTGTGGCAAACATTTTGTGAGTACACCCCAACCCATTTTGCGAGAACATTTCTGACACATAGACATTATTCAAAAGGCACTTATTGGCCATAAAATTTGGGCACCTAATAAAAATGCAACATTATTTCATGTCAGTAAAAACAAAATTATAGAAATTAAGTCCTTTAGTCCTTTTAATCATATCAATAGCAAATTATTTGTATTGGCTATTTTATGATTCCATCAGGTGTTATGTAAAACATCTATTGGTGTGACTCCTTGAGATTTTTATGTCTTTGACGTGAAAAGATGATCCATCTAGATTAACCCAATTTAGTGTATTATAGAGCTTCCATTCTATTATTAAATTATTCATTCAGGGATGCTATATAGAATTATTCTTCTATTTTCTTCTAACTCCTGAATTTTTTCATCAATGCTGAAAGGGAAATTCTTTTGACACTAAAGAATTTGATTAAATAACTATGGTCATCTCATAGTATTTTGTTAATTAAAAATGCATTGAAATATTAATTCTCTTCCTTAGGCAACATAGTTCTGTGTATATAATATATGTAATGTTTCTCAACCTCAGCAACTTTAAGATACGTGGAAATGCCTGAGTAATTCTGACAGCTGAAGTCCACATATCTTAAAGTTGATGAGATTGAACAACATTGACATATATAAAGGCCATGTTTTACTTAACCCAATTTTCTGGGTCCACACAACATACTGAGCCATTAATTCATCAGGTAGGCTGGTTCATATAATAGTTTGCTTTAAAAGTGTGCAAGAGATTTTGCAGTGAGATGTTTTTTGCATGAACTCACACAGAGTGCAGAAGTGCTGGTTTTGTACATTCCAAAAAATATTGATCTCAAAACAGTGCAGCTTCCAGAAGCACTCAATTTTTGAGTGCTCATTATAGGGACATTTGTGAAGTTTTATACTTGAAATAGTTCAAAATGAAATTGGTGTAGCCTAAGGCCAAACCCTTAGTCTTCTAGAAATTGAATGTTTCTTTTCTGGACCATGCTGATTTAAGGATGCTCCAGTGATTTCACAAAAGTTAATCCTCTGAACTGGAATCAGTTTGTGGTGTTCCAAACACGATCCTGTCTTGTTTTATGCAGAGCATCATAAAGTCATTCTGGAAAAATGTTACATTTTACAGTGGTAGATTTTTGGCCCTATTAGCCTATAATGTGATTGCTACTTTTTAGTTTATTGTGTCATGCAAACGCAGATCAGTTTTGTATTTTTTGATTTAAATAAAAGAGGAAGGGATAGTTAAGAGATAGCTGTATTAATCTCTAAGGATATCTTTCTCCCAAGTATTTTTTTCCTTTAAAATGCAAAGTCATTTTGGATTTGCGGAGAACGTGCCAGTGTATCCAGATGGATTTTGTTTCTTTTGAGAAATGTTAAATGGAGAACAAATATAGCAGCTACTGCTAGACATTTTTCTAAAAAAAAAAAAGATTGAGTTATTCCCTACTTCCCTTAAATAAGAATTAATTAATAACAAGATAAGTAAATATTAAAGTAGAAAAACAATGTTTTCCATGTCACACAAAATTTGGAAGCTGAAAGACTGGTATACCACTCTTGCATCTCTGAGTGACCATCTAGAAAAATATTTATTAAACAGTTGCTTAAACAGAAAATAATATTAAACAGTTATTGATCAATAGCCATTTCATTTGCTATGATCTGCATTTCTGATGTGCATTCATTTGGATATAGTTTCTTTGTTGATAGAGTTCCTACTTTCAAAAAGAAAATCCTTTCTTTACTATATTACTGATCGATTGCATTTTGAATATTACCCTTCTTTAAAAATTCTTTTACACAAAGAAAGTTAAAGAAGAGCAACGAGGCTGTACTCTTTCTCTGAAATATTAAATCTATTTTGTGCTACTAATGTATACTAACTATATATTTATAGCTACAGAAACTGGCATTCTTTTCAGCCCAGAGTTTTCATAGCTTATTTCAACAGTGAGGACCTATTGGTACTCCAGATGATGTTGATGGTAGCATCTTTCACTATTAGCTGTATTTCTAGGGCTGTTGAAATAGCTTCAGGAGGACAATTCCCCTATCTCTGGCTTTGGTTTATTTTTTGGGGCATCAGTAACAACTATTACGAACAACATGATTCTTTATGGAGCGTTTCTTTAATTTTAAGCTTAAGAAAAATAAGTGTTGTTCTCTACTCAGGATAGCAAGTATAACTTCCAAACATTCTTCATGCTATGTTTTTCTTCCAGTGGTGCAATTTGGGCAATTCAGTGCTCCAGGTTTACCAGTGCAATATAATTTTGAATGTCTCATGCTCTGAGAACATATAAAGAAACCACTAAAGTTACTTGCATATTATGAAGTTTTATGTATTAACTTGGAAAAAAAAGGAAATTGTAAAATGTATCTATGTGAGTCCTTTTTTAAGAGCACAGATATATGTAATTAAAATATTTTTGAAACAGTTGGTGTTTTATAAATTATTTTGTGTTTCTACTAGCATTAAATCTGAAGTCCTGAATCGCAAGCAGATTGGCTTTTTTAATGCATAATGGTAATGATTGTCCTTTTGCTGTTGGAGCTTAGATTTAGAGCAAGGGAGTCCGATCTTGGCAACTTTTAAGATTTGTGGACTTCTGTTCCCAGAATTCTTCAGCCAGTATAGCTGGCTGGGAATTCTGGGAATTGAAGTCCATAAGTCCTAAAGTTGACACAGTTAAACATCCCTGGTTTAGAGTAAAACTGCCAATATGTAAATCATATAACAGCATCATAGCATCAGACAGATATTGCACAGTTTCTACAGATTAGTTTTGAACGAAAAATCATCCACTACATGGTACAGTACAATGGAGGTATTGCTCCCTTGTTGTCTAAGTTGTTGCTTCACATAAACGGAGTGTGTATCATACATACACACTTGATAGTAATAGTTTTTTCTGTTATCCTGCAATTGTTAGGGAGATAATACCTGGCTCAGTTCCTCTCCTCCCCCTACTTTTACATTTGCAACAATCCTGTTGGTTAGGTTGAACAGCAATGGCATATGAATCTAATCATTGTCTTAAAAAGGAATGTATGAATTCTTCAGTGACTGAGGTTTGATGCCTCCAAGAAACTTGTATAGAGTATTAACTGGGGTTGTTTCTTAATTTGAAAATTTTGTCTTTGGATATATTTTCTTGCAAACATTTTGTCTTGATTTAACTGCATTTTCTAAATACAGGCAATCCTCACATGACTACAAGCTGTGCAACATACCAAGGGAGTTTACATGAAAATAAGAAGAAACATCTTCTGAACATACTTTTAAGCCCAACTATTTCTGAGTCATACTTTTTATTAGGAATGCAGCATTCTTCTACCCGCTTAGGAAAGCATTTTGCAGTGATAAGAAAATCATGGAAGTTTCTGCGTCTTTTATAAATAAAAAATTACAAAAATGGAAGCTGTAAAAAAAGATGTTGAGACTAGAAAGAGTGCAGAGAAGAGCAACATAGATAATTAGGGACTGGAGGCTAAAACATATAAAGAATGGTTTCTGGAACTGGGTATGTCTAGTCTGATGAAAAGGACTAGGAGTGACATGATAGCAGTGTTCCAATATTTCAGGGGTTGCCATGAAGAACGGGGTCAAGCTATTCTTCAAAGCGCCTGAGGACAGGACAAGAAGCAATGGGTGGAAACTAATCAAGGAGAGAAGCAACCTAAAACTAAGGAGAAATTTCCAGGCAGAACAATTAATCAGTGGAACAACTTTCCACCAAAAGTTGTAAATGCTAAACACTGAAGGTTTTTAAGAAGAGATTGGATACTCAATTGTATGAAATGGATTAGAATTTCCTGTCTAAGCAGGGGTTTGGACTAGAAGACCTCCAGGGTCCCTTCCAACTCTGTTATTCTATTTAAGATGGGGAAATGCTGCTGCTCTTGCTGTTGATGTCAGATCTATATGGGTGATTCATTTTGTAAACCACTTGATGCTGAATGTAAAAACTTGCTGTAGATATTTTTTCATCTTGAGAGAAAAATGTCAGGCACTTTCCCTTTTATACTATGCTTTTTCTTGCTATTCAGTACATAAAGCAGCTGAAATAATTTGAGTGCCTGAAACAAGCAATAAAGAACTGGGATGGGGGAGGAAGAGAGAGAGGGAGAGGGAGGGAGGGAGGGAGGGGGAGAGAGAGAGAAGAGAGAGAGAGAGAGAATCTTGTCTAACAATGACATGGAAAACGGAGGCCACATAGTTAAAATCTTCAGATCGACCATGATTCCTTGAATCCAGTATTGGCAGTATAATTATTTTTGCTTGGGAACATATTTTAGCCATATTACTTCTTCCAAAGATGGCCAATTCTGTTTTTGAGTTATAGCTTCCTTTCTGATAGTGGTGACAAATGACTGGACCACCCACTCTAGCTGTACATTGCCTCCCCCTGCTTTAAACAGATAATCTTCAGAGTGTTGCCAATCCGGTCAAGGACAAATGAAAAGTAATTTCCCCTCCTATTTTAAATGTACTGATCTGACTGCACAATGAGCCACAATATGTACATATATAAGCAGGCACATTACAACACACACATACTCACACGTATTAAACAAGAGAACAATGATGTTTTGGATGGGTCTCATAAAAATCAAGATGGCTACAACCCAAAGTGGCAAAGGAAGAAGAGCATTACATCAGAAAACTAGTCAGATCTCCAAAGTAGATTACTTTGTGCTTTAGATTGTGGGCTCAATAATCTGCTTTTATTCTACCAAAATTAAGTACAATAACAGACCATGGATAATTTGTCCTAAACTGCATTTCACGTTGATAGTCAATCATGTAAACCAAGAACTCCAGGAAGTTCAGCTAATATTTGCCAGAACATGGACGTGATAGTGTTGCTTGGGTTATTGTCAGTGGGACAATATCCCGATGTTTAGAAACCATTCCTGTGTTACAGGGTTTATGAGTTTGAAGTTAAAAAACTCCAGAGACTAAACACAAATGCACTTTTAGCCATGGAAACTTAACAAGTGGCTTTATGCCAGGAGATACTGTAACTCAGCCCAACTATTCACAGGGTTCTTGCAGGAAAAAATGGTGAAAAGAATGTTCCAGTTGGGTTGATGTTGAGGTAAAAAGTGATTTGTTTGTTTTTGGTTTTTGATATTATGTAAATCCAGCCATTGGCTTCTAGATCATGGCTTACAAATTAGTGTGTTGCATACATCTGGGTAAACTGCAAACTGGCTTAGTGTGACCTGTACACATATAATTTATATGCCACATTGAATTCCTGAAATAAAGACCAGGTTATAAACCCAACATTAATTAATTTTAAAAAGTCAATGCACGAAGCCTAAGAACATTATATCTATGCAGCTGATGAATAATTACTGTAATCTACTCATCTGAAAGAGGGAAAGAGTGGTAAAGCTATTTAGGAGAGGAGACCAAATGGTTTGATTTTCCAAGCGAGAGACGTCTTTTGTTGAGCATGAGTGAAATTTTTTCTTGGTCATTTAGGAAACTGTCCTCCTAATCCAACACTGTTCTGATCCTAAAATGTACGTGAGAATTATCGTGCAGGATTGGATTCTGGCAGCTTAGGTTGCAGTTCTCCCCAACTGAGGAGTGTGGTTTTGTTCCACCAAGGATTGTGATGCAAATCTGCAATACTATAGTGTTGAACTGCCACAGGCTTGGGTCATGTCAATATGGCGATAGGGCTTTACAATAATGATCTTATTAAGGTGAGCTGAAGAGCCTGTCTGACCTGTATTATTTTACTCAGTTACATCTCCTTTCTGCATTTTGGGTTGAACTGGTTCCAGCCCTAATGTGCTGCTGAGCTGTTGCCAGTGTGCTTTTTATTAAGCAATAGTCTTAGAAAGTAAAACCTGAGTCTTTAATGTGGCCTCTCCTACTTGTTTTAATACTGGTGAGAATAATCTTATATTTCACCAAAACTATGTGTATTTAGTTTCTGGCTTCCTGGATAATTGAGGGTTCCTATTAAGAAGACTTGAACAATTCTTGCTATAGAAAAACTGCTGGATAGGCCTCCTCTGTTTGGAATTAAAGGTGAAGGTGTTAAAGCCAGACAATAGCACTCAGATCAAAGTAGCCAGCAGAAGGGGGCCACAAGAAGCGCAGATTGTCCCATCGCATCACAAAAGGTGCCACCTCTCTTTCTCTGTAATTGAATTTCATGAAAGAAGCAAGGCTATTCTTTCCAAATGTAATTCAACCAGCCCCCTGGCTGGATGGGCAAGGAAAGCACCTGCTTTGTTTCCTGGAGGTGTGGGCAACCGACCCTCCTACCCTAATGGGGGGTGGTTAACTCAGAACTCCAATGTGTGGGGGCAACAGCAGCAACACCTGTTGGCCACAGATGATAACCTCATTCATGGCCTAATATGGGGCAAATTTTGGATTCTGAGTACTTTCCATGAATGTATGTTCGTATATCTTGAAAGACAAGGTGCTCCTTCTCAATGCCGTCAATCCAAGCCCCTTCAATTTGCCCACTGCTTCACTTTGACAGAAATGTTTCCTGGGCATGTGCAAATGTGAAAGGCCGACAGAGCGACGGAGGTTAGAAGTAGGAATACTGCTTTATTTGCCAGAGTCATATCAGAAGAATATAATTTTGGAGGGAAGTCTCCTTCATAGCATCATGTGGAGATAGGTCTTATGAGAACTTTATTTTCTTTTATTCATAAAGATTGTTCAAATTATGTAGTGTATATATTTCACTTGGCCAAAAGCAATGACACTTGGAGCTACCTAAAAGGCTTCTGCTAAGATCAAATGTTTTAAAATGTAACCAAAATATTACCATATGGGCTTTATTCTGCTTAAATAAAGTCATAGATAGCTCTCAAAAAAAAAAGGGTTCTGTTTATAGGAGTGCCTTGACCCATTCCTTTTATATGTGCTTTTCTTGAACTCAACCAAGAATTCACAATTAATGGAATTGTCACCAAACATAGGCACTGTGTCTTCAAAAGTGAAGCAGCGGTTTGAATGGGGTACACCTATATTTTGATTCGTCAAGAACAGAACAAATAATTAATGATTTATAGAAAAGTATTAATATTTTTTTCAGACTCACTCCATAGCAAGTTTTAACAACTTCGGGATTTCAGTTCTTGCTTCTTATTGGGGAGTGTATGAATGTTGGTCTACATATGTAGGTCCCATTCAGAGAAAATAAAGCATAGGTTGCTATGCTATAAAATGCATTGATGGACTAAGAATCCAACTTCTTGAGTACCTAAGATTACATTTAAAGTAAAATTTAAGCTATGAAAGTATATTTG